TGAAAACATGTATGTGCAGGCTGGTTTTGAACTCTTTATGTAGCCCAGAATGGCCTCAAACTCGTGGCAATCCACCTGCCTTAGTCTCCTGAGTGCTGCGATTACATGCGTATACCACCATGCTCGGCCATTATTCTACACTGCCATTATTCTAAAATAAACAAGCTTACTGGGAAAGATTACCTGTCCCCACCCAGCAATACCAGGTTTTAAAAAGGATATAAATATTGGCTGACCATCTCCTCATAAGAATAGCACTTTTTGTTTTAGGTATTCAGAAATAATACTCAGGGTACTATCAAAAAGATAAATGGTTTTTTTCTTAAAGAAAAAAGCTTTGTAATAGCATTTCTCTCTTTTTTATTTATTTTTAAAAAAGTTTATTTATGTGTGTGTGTGTGTGTGTGTGTGTGTGTGTGTGGCCAGCTCACCCCCCCAGAGCGGGGCTGGCTGGCATGTGGTGCTGGGGGATTGAACCGCGGTCCACGTGCTTTGCCAAGCTTGTTCTAAGTAGGTGCTTTAGACCACTGAGCCATCTCACCAGCCCCATTTCTCTCTTTTTTAAAAAAAGACCACGTTGCAAAAATCTCATTTGGATACACTACATTTAGGTATCAGAAAAAAGTAGAGGGAGGCAGAGCTTCTACGAGTGAGTTTTTTTCCACGTTTTAGAAAATGTCAGGATTACAGAGGTTAGCAAAGAACTGCTGGCTCCTACACTGGGGCAGTTAAAGGCATCCTGAGCTTTATATTAAGGACACGGCACCTACGGAGAAAACTCACGAGCCGACACTCACCAAAAGCTTTTTTTGAGCTTCAAGTTTATGTGTAACAAATACTGGACTTCCCCTCCTCCCCACCCCGTATATTACAAAGCTCAAAGACCAGATCTTTCAACAGGCACTTTAAACACTAAACAACATTATTATTTGCATCCCAGTAAGTACCGGGCTTAACTTCAGCCACAGAAGACTTCTGAACTTCTTCAGAAGAAACCCGGGCAGCTAGAACAAGAAGCTACCGTGGCCGTGGCAGAGCTACTCGTGTGTAGCACGTGCCTTTTGTACATCGGCACTGACCAGCAAAGGGACAAGGAAAGGTGATGAGTGCTTAAGCTAGCTCAAACTCCAAATAAAAATACAGATGCCTGAAGGCCTGTTGGTATTAATAAGTCTGCTCTTCTGGATCAAGGGGAATTTAATACAGAGAATGTCAAAGAAATTAGAAGCATGAAGGCCACAGTGATCCATTCTGCAAATGCTTGGAAAGAGGTGACATTGTTGAGCTCATGAAAGGAAGGTGGAGGGAGCACAGAACCCACAGGGAAGTCCCTAGAGATGGAAGCTGTCTTTTCACCAAGATCTACTGCACAGGGGCTGGCTGTGTAGCTCAATGGTCGTGTGCTGGCTCAGCAGAGGTATAGGTCTGGGTTTGAACCCAGCACCCCAAACTAATACCAAGTAACTTCACACAAACACCACACATGCACACACATGCACGCACACCTGTAAGGCTTAAGGGCACAGACTTTGTTGTCCCAGTTTTGCATTCCCAACACTGCACACAGGGCCTGGCCCAAGAATCACACCGAAAATTTGATTACTTATTGGTGATGGGATGGAGGGTCCAACTTGATAAGCCTCTGGGCTCTTTTAGGACAAGATGGAAGCCATGAGTAGTTTTTATGAAAGCCTGAAACAGCAATTCTTGCACATACAGCTCTTACTGCTTCTCTTCTGCAAAGGTATTCTCAATTTGTAGACACTATGCCTTCTGTGCATGTGTGTGTGTGTGTGTGTGTGTGTGTACATGTGAAGGTGTGGGTGGAGGTAGTGGGGGTGGAATGCCAGCCTTCTGCACTAAGCTACATCTCAAGCATTTTAAAACATTTTAAAATTCAGAGACAACGTCACATTAGGCTGGCCAGGCTAAGACTGAACTTGGGCTCCTCCTGCCTCAGCCTCCCAGAGTGCTAGGATTACAGAAATGTGCCACTATACCGGTTGTGCTTTTCTTAAAGAGACTTCCAGTCACCCACCAGACATGTCAAACTAAACATTTAAGAAGAGGTTAAAAGGTGAGAGAGAAGAGCTGCCATCTACAAACAGAAAATGCATTTAGCATGTTGAAAAGGAACAGAACACAAGAAACATGGAACAATGGCTGAAAATGTGTTGCCTGGGTCATCAGCTCCCATTTGGGGGTCATCAGATGGGAGGGGTGAGGGGCTGGGAGCTGTGGCAAGGAAGAGGTGACAGAGGGAGGGACTGTTCTGACACCTGCTAGGGCTAAAAGTATGGGTGAGCAGGGCTTGGCATCTGATCACAAGTGACACAGATAGGACTCCGGAGACTCTCCCATGGAAGAAAGCTAATCTCAGTGTGGTCACTGCCCTCTCTCAAGAACTCAGGCTGCTCTGCGCCTCTGCACCTTGGAAGGCATCTGGAAGCAGAATCTGATCAGTCTGTCTGTAATGCATAATGGAAAAGATGGACAGGATCCCCAAAATGCAGTAAAAACCCCTTCTCAGCGACCTAGAGAGTGGCCCGAGAAATGGGTGTTCTAATTGGGCCACTCTAAATGGATGATCTGGAACGCAGACTGCCTGGGGAAGTAGGTCAAGTGAGGACAGAAAAGATGCAGGCATCCAGCGCCTATCACTGCCTTCAGGTGATGGCCCTGCAGCCCGCATGGGCTGGCACAGCAACTTTCTATAGCTTCGTACTCTCTACACTGAAGTTAGCTGTCAGGGACCAACAAGGACCAGAGACCAGACTGGAAGCCGCTCCATGGATTGATTCTCTCTTTCCAAAGGAGGTTTACATTCTCAGAACACATTCAGGGAATGTAGCCAGGGCGACAGAAAGGCCTCTGCATAGGTTCCCTTGTCCATCCCTTTTTTTCTTTTCTTTTCTTTTCTTTTTTTTTTATAGGGAATCAAACTCAGGACCTCATGCTTGCCAGGCAGGCACTGTGCCTCCAAGCTTCCCCAGCCATCCCATCTTCTAACTGCTCAATGAAACTAATCTCTACCAAAAGATCATCTATCCACAACCTTTTTGATTATTTTTGTGGTACTAGCAATTGAACTCAGGGCCTTCGACTGAGCTACATCTCCTGCTTCCCTTTATAAATTTACTTTTAAAACAGTTTCACTGAATCACTAAATTGCCCAGGCTGGGCTTGAACTTGTGACCTGCCTGCCTCAGCCTCCCACAGTGCTGGGGTTCTAGACATGGTCACCATGTCTGGCTCTGTATCTATCATCTTAAAAGACTTTCTGTATTAGCCACATCTATTACTGCCATGGATCTGCAAAACTTAACATTTCCAGGTTAACTTCTTCAAAAACATTTACAAATTTAACCTTCAAGGTTCAACCATTTCTTTCCAACACTAAATTAAGCATGTTACAAATGCTAAAAAAGTTACTGAACCAAAAAGGAGGGTCACATGGCTACTTACAGTTAGTATATGTTATTGCTGAAATATACTTTGCCAATTGCCCATGAATTAAAGTAATAATTAAGTGAAAAACCACTCCACATTTAAGCACCTTTATCTTCATTATTAATTCCAAAGGCTTTATTGAAATTATCCTTATACGGATGACTCTGGAACATAATTTTATAACATACAAATGACTTAAAAAGAAGCCCATATACAAATATCAATGCTCAAATTAGTGAACTGGGATACAGAAAAATAGTCAAGAATCTAGGAAAAGAACATCCAATGCTGTTAGGTTTCTACATGCTGAGAGAATACTGCCTCAAAGGAAGCTGATGAAAACAGCAGTTCACTCAGCAGAATTCCCAGCTTCGTTGAGTTCCTCCAATTGTTTCACAGGAGCAAACTTGCAAAGTAAAAGGGGAAAGATTTATGCAATCTCGAGGGAAACCAGCACATAGCAATCTTAAAAGCAGGGAGAAGTTCTAGCACACTTCCTAAACAATGCATTTTCCTCAGAAAGCACTTCTAATACCTTTGAAATTCCTTTAGAACAGCAACTAGCTAATTTCATGGAGGATATGTTAAAAGCTACCAAATAATACTTGACAAAACTTTAAATTTGTTTTTGAGAAAAGCCACCAGTCTTATTTCAAAAGTTCCTTGGGAAAAGTATGACAGTAGGTACATTTTTATTCTGCGTATCTCCAAATTCAGATTTAATGGCCCAATTTAGAACAGATAGCAATTGTTCGTAACAAACATACCAGGAAGGTAGTAACTAAGGGTCTCTCTTTCTCACATCTCCATTTTCAATTCCTGATTCCTAGTCTTACAGAAAAGCCAAATGACACCAGCAACATTTGGCTAACAGGCCAGGGCACATCCCTGGGGAGCTGCACTGTCATGGTAGGTGGGGAGACCTCACCCTGGGAGGACGGATGGTTCTTCCTGCTAAGCTACCTTTTAATCTGAGAGAGAGAAGACAATGATAAGAGGGTGGTGTGCATTTGAGGTGAGCACCGGCACAGCAGCGGGCCTGGGACCCCTGCTCCACTGTGGGAGAGTGGAGCTGCCCCCTTGTGAAAACAACTGAGCAGACACTGCCTGAGGCCCAGGTGTGGCCCACAAAGGAAGGGGAGGAGCAACAGGAGGGAGAACAGTCTCAGGGACCCAGCAGCAGAGGTCCAGCCCGCCCCAGAAGTGCACAGCCCTACAATTCTGCTAGAAGTAGCAAGAATCTACCCCAAGTGGCTCATCAGTTCTGCTCCTACATCTGCTTTTAGCTTCACAACCCTACAGGATGAGCCCACAGGAATGCTGGCATTGAAATTTTGTATTATTGATCTAAGACTGCATTATTGATCTAAAACTCTGCATTATGACAAGGCAATGGAGCAGCAAGCAGATGTAGCCAAAGAGTTTATATCTCTGACCCTCAAAGCGATAATCTTATATAAATAGATCATTTTTTCCATCTGTTCAAACACTGCTCAACATAACAAAAACACAACAAGGTAGAAGATGAAGAAGGCAAACACAATGCTTACTTTCTCGAAATGCTTTACAGTAGCCGAGGAAAGACAACGAAAAGAACAGGGCGCAGAGGAGATCCGCGCGGCCGACAACACCAGCAACCTTAAAAGGGGGGAAAAAGATTTATGTCAAAACACTTGAATGTTCTTAAACTTTGAAAAATGTTGTTGAACTCTGAAAACTTAAAGACATATCAAACAGGAAACTAGTCTATATCACTTAGTACAGTAACCTGCAAAACATGGTCTTTACTTCCAACCTGGTTCTCTTTTCTAGGTGCAAGAAGACTTGGTTTGGTTTAGGACTTCATTTAATTGGTTCCAAGGGAAACCTGGGCTGGTCCGAACACAATGATAGCTGTGTTGTACATTGGACACAAACAGTGACACATGCCCAGCGACAGCTGTGTCACTTCATATACTGCAGCCTACAGCTCCAGGTACTCAGGCTTCCGATGTCCTCACAGTGGGTTTTTTTAAAAAAGTCTTTTATTTATTTGGCACAGGGTCTCACTATATAGCTTGGACATAGTGATCTTCCTGTCTCAGCCTCCCCAACACTGGGATTCCAGGTATTGTGCCACCGCATTTGGTCTCAGGGCCAGCATGGCATGCAGTACTGGGGATCAAACCTGGATCCTTGCACTTGCCAGGCAGGTGCTTAGACCACCGAGCTATCTCCCCAGCCCTCTACAGTGGTTGTTTCATTGGGAAACGTCAGCAACTCAAGAGGGTGTGATCCTCAACAAATAAAACTTGATTGAAAACATGAAGGACATAAAGGCAAAACATGTGTTGCAAGGCATGGGGGGACCGATGAGGGTACAGGAACCATTCTTCTGAGTGGCCTGATCCTTCTTTCTTTCCCTTCAGACCACGACTGCTCAGGTGGGTGACCTGGAAAGCAGAATGCTTCAAAGTGGTTGCCAAGCAAGATGAAAAGGGGCTGACATTCCTCGCCTTGAAGCAATATAAAACCTGTGTTGATTTCTTTCAGGCTGATTATTCCAACAATTGCTCTCCAAATGTTTCTGTGAGTAGCAGACTTCCCGTCACAGGTGTTGGCCTAATTTATGTGCAGACCTTTACTAACTAAACTAGCACCAGAATATGACACCTATCAGAGTACCTGCTGTGACGTTAGGACTCCTAATGTCTGATAGGTTAACCATGTCTTGGAGGACAGACACATGATACATGGGGTACGCAACAGGGGCTATTCTATAGATGCAGGTGAGTGAACACGCATGCAGTGACTGCGGTCACTACACACACATGGGACTCCCCGGGGCACACAGGGCCAGCAGCTATGAAAGTGCCTTGGGGAGTGGTTGCAAACATTTATTGCAACTTTCTGACTCTTCAGCTGCTGTGGTGCCCGTGAGAAAGCTTGTGGCAAAGGGGGTCAAAAAAGAAGCTGGTCCTGAATTCCACCCTTGACTGCACACAGCCTGTAGAACATGGAATCATGGATGCTCCCAATTTTGAGCAGTTTCTCTACGAAAAAGTCAGGGTGAATGGCAAAGCCGGGAATCTCGGTGGAGGGGTGGTCACTATCGAAAGAAGCTAGTACAAGATTGCCATGACTTCCGAGGTGTCTTTTTCCAAAACGTGTTTGAAATATCTCACCAAAAAATATCTGAAGAAGAATAATCTGCGTGACTGGTT